ACCGTCGTCGATGCAGAAAGTACAGCTCGGACAGCCTAAGTATTCGCATCCTCAGGCCCATGTGCACGCGCCGTCGCCTAGACAAGCGTATAATGCGCAATCCCAACAACCGCAGATGCCACAATCACAATCCCTACCACAATCGCAATCCCCACCACAATCGCAACCACAGCCGCGGCCACAATCACAACCACAACAACCATTTCAATCCCAACCCATACCCCAGCAACAACAACAACATCCAATGACACGTACAAACTCAGAATACGATTCAGAAGTAGACGACGTGATGGTCATACCCAATTCAGATGAGGAATATGAGGATGGTTGGAAAATGGTACCTTCAATGCAAGGTGGTGGTGGTGGTGGTGGTGGTGGTGGGAGCGGCTTTATGGCTTTAGGTGGTGGGAGGGGGAGGGGAGAGGGGTTGAAGGTTGGGTTTAGAGGGGATAAGGATATAGAGAAAGGGAGAGAGAAGGAGAAAGGGATCAAGTCGATGCGGAGACGGACGGCATTGGATAAGAGTGGTAAGGTTTTTCTCTTTTCTTTTGATTGTTTTTTGGTTGACGAATCTCTTTCTCCCAACCTTTTTTTTTAAAAAAAAATCAGAACTATCACCCGATCCAACGAGTCCAGTTGTAATCACGCCTGACGCTACTCAGACTCCATCAGCAGCGGCAGCGGTGGGTGTTACGCGGAGTCGGACATTACCTTCACGTAAGAAAGGAGGTGGAGATGATAGTCTAGGTCTAGGGATGGAATCAAATGTAAGGAGAGAGAGGGGTGTGGAGAAGAGAGTGTTGAAGAAACAGAGGAGAGTGTCTGGTGGTGGTATGACGAGTACTACGACGGCGACTCTCAGTCCGACACCCAACCTAAACCCGAATACTCTGAATACGAATACGAGTACGAATACGAATGTGGTCAATCGGACTTCGGGAGGCTAGTTATTTTTTTTTGGTTGATGATCCATTTGACTTGGGGGGTTGGTGATCAATTGATCATGGATGGACTTGTACATGAATGCGTAGCTGCAAGCCAGAAGGTGGACATCTTCAATTTCAATTTTTTTTCTATGATTTTAAATTTTCTTTGACATTTTTAATTACTTCTATCGTGGGTCAGTACTTTTTTTTGTTACCCATCTTCGTTCTTTTTTTCTTTCTCTCTCTTTTCCTGTTGGGCATTGTACTATTGAAATAATGGGCCCCTTTGTATCATGGACAGTGACATTTTGCTATTTAATGTATTTTCTGCTTACCACCCTTGCATACCTATATCTTCTGTCACGTATTCCTCTCTCCCACTCCAATCCACTCTCATTCCCACTTCAATGCTATATCTCCACTTCAATGCTATATCTCCCACTCTCTTGTTACTATACGTACACACCTATATTTAATGTTACATAAGGAATAAAGCTAATTAACACCACATCTATAAATAACTCGTAACCGCCACAACAGCCCAGGGTCATCTGATAAAACAACCCACACTTGAACTTCTGCGGCTGCGGTCAAGTGGCGGTCTCAACAGCTTTCATTTTCACCACCATCGTCGTATACACTACTTTGATCTACCCACCCAAAAACAATATGCCTCCACGACCTTACCAAGAGAATCCATTTGAAGCATCTAGTTCTCGTGTTGATATTGATGATTACTACAGTGATATTCCTGTCAGTACTAATCCTTTTTTTGTTGTTTTTCTTAACAAGAAGGTCTTTTTGTGCCGGGTGGCACCGATCGTATTTTTATCTCTCCTATCTCCTATCATATTTCCGTCACTAGAGGCAACCCCATATTGGCATTGAATCAGCAGGATAATACACAGCCGCTAACCAAACCTCCTTATACACAGCCCGCCCATCATTTGTCCACTGGCTTATACCCCACTTCAACCCCCTCTGCTCAAAGGAATCGCTCACAGACCTCAGGAGACCCAAGTTTTCAAAGTATCCCACTCGCCGCTACATCACAACGCTACCAAGACCAACCATCATCATCCTCGCCTTTCTCACAGGGCCAACAAGCTTACAATCTACAACAGCGTCAGCAAGGTTTAGAGTCGACTGACGATTTAGCGCCCACATCTACACTTACACAAGAACCTTTTGTGCCGATTGCTGCGGGATACGGAATGTCTACAGGCAGATATGTCGATTTACAACAGGAGAGGAATTTGAATGGGTCGGTTGGTAGGCCATGGCAGGCACCCAGGAAATCGAACCGCAAGAAATGGATTGTGCGTTTTATTTTTCCCTCGATAGAAAGTATGAAGCAATTTTTATTCACCTTTTTTTCCCCCTAGATAATGGGTTGCGTACTCGCCCTTGTTGGAGTCATCGTCATTGGCGTCGTTGTCGGTGTTGTGGTATCTAAGAACAAGAAGAATAACGCCCTGGCGAAATCCCCGTCCTCTTCTCCCTCGTCTTCTTCCTCCAATTCATCATCTCCTGTAGTCCAAACCAACCCTAATGATCCAAGCAGCTTCGTCAGGGACCCCGCTTTTCACCAATCCTTCTATGGCATGGCTTATACACCTGTTGGATCCCAAATACCCGACTGTGGGAATACATTGTGTGCGTTTTTCTCTTTTTTCTCTTTTCCCATCTCCATGGATTCTTATGTTTTTATTGTGTTGGGCCCGTTGTTAACTTTCTTTTTATTTTTCAGCTGCCGTTATTCAGGATATGCAGGTATGTCTTTCCATGTATTTTTTTGACTGGGTTGCGTCAAGACTCTGACCCTGATTTTCTTCGTTCCTTTCTAGATTATGTCGCAGTTGACAAAGGTGAGCCGTTGATCCCGACGGTTGTCGTCAGCACTATTTGGATTGCTCCGCGACACCATGGAAACACATTTTTAATTGGTTGATTTATACTATAGCGTCTACGTCTATATGGAGCTGATTGTAACCAATCTGCATTGGTGGTATGCTGATCCACTTCTCTCAAATATCCACCGAATTTACCTCCCCTATAGCTCGAAGCCATCAAACAAACCAAAGTGGACCTCACGGTCTGGTTAGGCAATTACGCCATCGCAACTGATAACGGGGCCGCCTACCAACGTCAACGTGACTTGATTAAACAAGCTATCTTAACTTATGGAACAGACCACATTGGTGGTATCACCGTTGGAAATGAGTTTATGCTCAAGTAACGTTTCCCATCCCCTCAATTTACTTAATTCCTTCTTATTTTCTTTTTTTTTATACCAAACTCATAGTTATGTCACGCAAAATAATATTGCTGATCCCAATAGCGCGGCCGCGAATGTAGGCGCAGCAATTTTGCTCGGTAATATCCAAGATACGCGAAGTATGCTTGCGGGGATGAATTTGAATAAGGCATTGCCAGTTGGAAATGCTGATGCCGGGAGTTATTTCAATAATGAGATTTTGGCTGCTGTTGATTATGGAGTACGTCCCTCATCTTTTCATCCTTCCCCCTGTTTTCATTACGCCTTCTTTCTTCTTTTGGCTTATCAACATTCTTCCACTGTGTTTAGATGGCCAACGTCCATCCATGGTTCGGGAGCGTTTCCATTAATGATGCAGCAGGCTGGACTGCCGATTTCTTCCAGCAGACTGATGTTGTAGTTGCTAATAACTTGACGAATAAGCCTACTATGTATATTGCTGAGACTGGATGGCCTACCGTGAGTTTTTCTTAGCTATCTTTTCCATTCCAACCAATTTCTGACCTGTGCGTGTTTCTTTTAGAAATCGTCGAATGTAGCGAGTGAATCGGATGGGCCTTCCCTTGCTTCGATACCTAATCTTCAGGTTTGTCATTTCTACTTAGCCGAAAAATTGTCCAACGTTAAATACCTTTTTTGTTGGTTATGGTTTAGATTTTCTTGGATACTTTTGTATGTCAAGCCAATACTAACGGTACTGGGTACTTCTTCTTCGAGGTATGCTGTCTTTTTCCTCTGTCGTCTTTTCTTGTTGGTATATTTGCTGATTCAATTTCTATTATAGTTTGCGGATGAAGCTTGGAAAGTACGTAGAGAGCCTTTTCCCTTGTTTCCTACGATCATTGATTGATTGCCTTGCTTTTTTAGGATCAGCAATTCGGTGGTGTTGAGGTATGCTTTTGTTCTTTTGATTGAGGATTGAGAAGGCTGACTTTTTTTTTACTTACTTGAAGGGCTGGTGGGGTTTATTGAACCAAAAGTAAGTACTTCAATGCTGTTCTATTCCCTGTATATGATTTATTGACGTACCCTTTCCTCTCTTCTGAATAGCCTGACATTGAAAAACGGCATTACGATCCCTAATTGCACATCCCCCTGAAAACCCCACAAAACACTCACTTGAATGAAGGTTTAGAGGACATTATTCTCTCTGGATCATACCCCTTACCGTTCCTGGACTGAACAGTTGACTTACTTATAAACCAACCGATGGGCTTGAAGGACCTTACTCCTCTTTCCTCCTATTAATCCGAATTTTCCCTTTCCCAGTCACTCTTTCCAACTCGTCTTATTTTTTTTGAGTGTAGCCCCATCGCATCATGTACATTTTATTACCTATCCCAAAAAACTGACGATGGATCTAACTTTCCATTTCTTTTTCATTTCATTTCGGACGGTCTCGTTTGTTTGTTTTTTTATATATATAATGCTCATTAGCTAGGCCCAGATCAAAAACATCGGTTTGAAATTTATATCGTAGATGTAAGTTATCGCTCAGTACTCCCATCCCTTCAAAGATTTGTTGTTATTTCAGCCCATCAGCTTTGATTATCTTATAGTTTGGATCCGATGCGTTATCGGGATCGTTGGCAAGTGGGCTTTTGCTACATAAGGATGAGAGAGAAAAAGGGGAGTCGGGACGGTTCTATGCATTGACCGGGAGTCGAACCCGGAGCTAGGCCATGGGAAGACCCAATGTTACCGCTACACCATCAATGCTGATGAATGCGGCTGAACAAATACAAATGAGTCTACCTACACCTAGCTGTGTAGTCGGGAAAAAAACATAAGTTCCTGGGCCCAACCGGGAATTGAACCCGGGACCACGCACATCTTTGCCTCCAGAGGAAGCGGGAGTTAACCCGAAGCGCGTATCATACTACTAGACCATTAGGCCGATGGGAAGTGGGTCCTTTTGGCAATACATTACCTGCACACATCTTCTTGGGCCCATCCGTTTTCAGAGGTCAACCCTTTTTTGACCATGGCAATCAGGAAAAAGACTTCAACGACACGATTACCCCAAATCCTCCAACAACAACTCGACGAAGCAGCCTCAACTTCAACCTCAGGTGTGTGTTCTCCACATATCCATATACTCATTTGAATCTCTCAAAAATCATTCAGCCAACAATCAGAACCACCGTTCATGGAATCAGAATAGTCGTAAATCCTATCTTGCTGCTGCGTCTAGGAAAGATGCTCGAAAACAAGAACGTCTTACTCGGAAGCAGAACAAAGCGACGTATTTTTCTAGTTCTCATATCTCGAATACTCGGAAACGCGGGGCGGAGGAAGAACTTGTTGAATCGCCTCAACGCAAAAAGCTGAAATCGCATGGATCTAATACTGCTGTCCTTCCAAAAGCGTCCAAGAGTCTACCGGCGCAATCCGTTGTACCGGTCATTGCTCCTGTTGCTGTACCTAAAAGTACAGACCCGTCCCCGTCGATCAAAGTGTCTAAACAATTGACGACAGCGACGAAAGGCTCGACCCTTGAAAAAACTAAGAAAAAAACTGTCAACCTAAAACCACCACCAAAGGAAGATAAAGAAGATGCCTATATCACTTACTTGGAGTCTAAGCTTGGCATGGACAACGGTGGAAAGAAAAAGGGAAAGAAGGCGGCAGACGAGGACGATGGCTTAGATGGTACGTTGCGATGTTCCTGCACACTCTATTCTGACATTGACAAGAGTTACTGTGCCTTAGATCTCATGACTTGGGCGGATTCGTTCGTGGCACCAATCACGAAAGTAAGTTGTATCTTTGGTTTGTTAATATGATCTGCCGACATCTTTTTTTGCTAGTCTGAAGAGGAGGATGAGGATGAGGATGCAGTATCGTTCAGTTCTGAAGATGTTTCTGAAAGCGAAAGTTCTGGAGACTATGAAGAAGAATGGCATGGCATTGGCGAATCTCTGGAACATTCCGGTTCAGAGTCTACTAATGAGGTAGACACGCCAAAATCCCCACAACCCGCTACAAGTTTGTACTTTTCGGCGTCAGATTTGCGGTATCAGGTGCTAATGATGCTTTAGGTAGCGCATATGTTCCTCCTCACCTGCGGAATGCCCAACACCGGGATGATAGTAACTCAGAAGCCATCCTCAAATTGACGAGGCAACTGAAAGGTCTACTAAATCGGTAGGTGCTATGAAACAAGAAAGCTATCACCTTGTTGACCACGGGTTATAGGATGGGTGAACAAAATATCGGTACTATCCTAGACAGTGTTGAGGAAGTTTACAGAAACCATCGGAGAAATGGTAGTTGTCTTTGGTTTTTAAAACAAAAGCGACGAGAGCTGAGAATCTTTTCATCTAGATGTCACTTCTACCCTAACGACCTTGATCATCGATGGGATATCATCCCATTCTTCGTTACTGGATTCGTATGTTGTGCTTTACGCAGCATTCGTGTCGAGTTTGCATAAAACAGTCGGCGTTGAATTTGGTAAGAGTTATACAATTCACTAGGTTATTTGATTCTCGAACTTGAGTTATTCATCCTTTTCTTTTTTCTCCCTTCTAGCCGCTCATCTCGTCCAAACCCTCGTCGCCTCTTATGAACGTCACTATGCCTCAATGCAAGATACTACCATATCATCTACAGACACCACTACTGAACAAGACGGCAAAGAATGCTCGAATTTGCTCGTGTTGATCTCTGAACTCTACAACTTCCAAGTGGTTTCATGCGTACTCGTATTTGACGTTATTCGTTACCTTCTCAACGACAATCTTACGGAGTTCAAGGTGGAGTTGTTGTTGAAGATTTTGCGAAGTAGATTACGAACTAATGTTGCTTTGGACTATGGCTGATTTTATTCGTTTAACGACAGATTCTGGTCAGCAACTTAGGCAAGATGACCCCTCTGCGCTCAAGGATATCATTGAGATTGTACAAGGAAAGGTCTCTATGAAGGATGACGGCGTTAAGTAAGTTCATTTCGTGTCCACCAGCCAACCCAATTATTTATATCAACTGCAAAGCTCTCGCACACGGTTTATGATCGAAACTCTTACAAACCTGAAAAACAACAAGTCAAAAAGAAATATCACTCAAAATCAGGGAGGAGCGGCAGTGGAGAGAATGAAGAAGTTTCTTTCGGGTCTTAGCAAAACACGCCATGGTATGTATACTATCTACATCGACATTGACGATCCAAGTTGTCTTATTGATCTTTTTTCAATCAGTTCTATCGCATGAGCCGTTGCGGGTTTCTCTTGAAGACCTTCGTTCAGCTGAAAGTAAGGGGAAATGGTGGCTTGTTGGAGCTGCGTGGAGTGGGGATCCTCTAGTTGATAAGCAGACTGAGTTTTCGAAGACGACGGGAGTGACTGGTCTGGACCAGCAGGCTACGGCTGCTGAAGATAATCTGATCAAGCTTGCTCGCTCTCAAGGCATGAACACAGATATACGTCGCGGGATTTTCGTTGTCCTCATGAGCAGTGATGTACGTTTCTTTCTTTCTAAAAGCACCTGAACTATCTGACCGAGATTGTAATACCTAGGATTACATCGACGCACATGGGAGACTCTCCCAGTTAAACCTAACTGAGGTGCAACAACGCGAAATAATTCGTGTTTTACTGCACTGTTGCGGTAACGTAGGTGCTTCTGCTACCTTCTAACACACACACATATCCTTACCTCGTTGTCAACTCCTTAGGAAAGCTCATATAACCCATACTATTCCCTCGTAGGCCAACAACTCAGTCGCACCACACATGCTTATAAGATCACGTTACAATTCACTTTATGGGATTTCTTACGGGATCTTGGGGAATCCAATGTGGGCGGTGCTGCTGTGATCAAGAACGCCAAAGAGGATATCGAGTTTGACGTCAAGAGCATGTCGAAGACGCGCATACAGCATGTTGCTAAAGCATATGCGTGGTGGATTGCTAAGGATTGTGCTAGTCTTATGATTCTGAAGGTATGAATAACCCCACCCGGTAGACTCTTTTTTTTGAGAGAGGCTGATATATGTATCATGCAGCCTGTGGATTTCACGAAGCTAAAACCCCAAACACACGACTTTTTCAAGCAACTCTTTATCCAAATCTTCATTAACAGTCAACGATCGACTCCGCTTGCAGACTCAAGTACTATTAAAGATCTGGTGTTCACACGAAATCGGAATGCAATCGAGGAAATTTTCATTAAAATCTCACGAGTAGAAACTTTGGCTATGGGATTGGTGTTTTTCCTATCGGAATCGTTCCCTGAGAAATATTTCAAGTCGGATGATGGATTTTCCAAGTTCCTCAAGTGGGCTGTTGATGTGGCGAAGGATACGTTGAGGACTGGGATCGATCTGATACCTAGTACAGTATAACGTTTTTATGCGGGGTAGTATCTTGGTACCTAATCATATTTCAAATCTAGTACGATTCATGGTATACATTTTTTAAAAGCTACACTTGAACATATACTTCCGCTTTTACCTCCAAACGTGTATGTTGGGTGCTGAATGCGAGAACTATTCTTGCATGAGCTGAGTTCGAGCATGGTCATAGATAAAAGACATACTGATATGTGAGTCCTGTCTCCGGCGTAGCAAAATTGGATTTTAATTCATCTTCAGTGAAGTTACACGCTAGAAATTTTGAATTAGTTGAATCAATCGAACTTGTAATTTTTATTGAGAGTGACTTACATGTAATAAGAAAGTATCCTCCTGGTTTCAACAGTCGTGCAGCCCGATCAGGATAATTTACGGACGGAGAGCGACCTTGATCATCTTTTTGTCCTAATGCAATAGCATCGTATGTACCCTTGTCGAGAATCAAATCCCAGACGTCTATTCGGAAGGCCAATCGATAGATTCCGGGGAGTGGAGGGTCATCTTTTAGGAAATCACATTCGCTGAAACTGATCATTGATCCTCCTCGTGTTTGAGCAATCTGGCTAGACAAAACAACAGCTCCAGGGCTATAATCAATCCCAGAAAGTCTTGCTGGGTCATATCCGGCGTCGAGAAGACCGAAAAGAAGGGTTCCGTTCCCACTCCCGATCTCTAAAACTGATGCGCTGGAGGAGGGAGGTATGTTCTCTAGTGACCATTCTACCATCTTGTTGATGGTTTCGGCCCCAAACCTAAATTGAGGGTTTGAATAAAAAGGATGGAAGAACAGTTGGGATCGCATACCAAATTTCTCCTTCATCCCCGATCTCTTCGAAATTAGCAAGTTCTTCTTGGTAGACGCTGTCCCAGCTGGCAACGGAACTAGTTTGACAGATGTGTACCAGCAGCGAGGTTATGATACGCACTGTTCCTTGGTACCAAGTTTAGAGGGTTGTAAGTCTGAAGTGCTCATCTTTGGCAAAGGTCGAAAAGGTCATGATAGGAGTCTTATGTAATGCTCATTGGACAATTTTTGGACTCAAGTGTGCCTTTCAAGTTTCAAGTATTTGAACTTGAAAATCGAAGAAGCTTGTTCTGGGACGCAGTCAACTTCGCCGCCGAGCACGGCACGAGTTTGATGGTGAATTCATTTCATTCAATCTTCGGAGTGTATGTGGGTTGTAATACAACCTTTCCTCCTTCGACAAGGTTACGTCAATGTAAGTTACAAAGAGGCCTTTGAACGCTCAACTAACCACAAGCCGTGGAGGGCCTTTTCCGTCAATCAAAATGCCAAGCTAGCCACAAACATTCATTCCAGCGGTATCCTAAGGATCTTAGACTGGTCTTTCCAGCAGACATATAGTCGTGAATTTTGACGGTGTCCAACAATGTATTCCGAGAATAGAGTTTCAGACGAGGTTTGTGCATTAGTGAGGGTGATATCAATCTCAAACGAGAAAGCAATAAAGATAGGATGCAATGTAAACTGGTACATAAAATTGATAAGTAGAATTCAACATGGAGTAGCAGGGATTACGCAC